TTGATATGCTCCCCCCCTACCCTTCTGAAATATGTGATGAGATTTGTTACATTTATGTTGAGGGTTAGGCTTCCAATTCCTGTTAATTATAAACTTTAGGGTAGACCTAGAGTTAAAACTAAGACAATACTTAAATAGACACATTTGTGAAAAATCCGCGGCCTCGGTGGGATACGAATCTCTGTCAACAAGGGAGGGCTTGAGTACAGTCAACGCTCTGCCAGCCGAGCTATGAGGCTCACCGGGAATCGTGAATTTAATCACACAATTGAGTCAGCTGAATTTGTTATTTCCAGCTGCACAAAAGTGAAATTCTCCACGTCCATTTCTGTTGACTTCCTGTCAGACCCACTACAATTGTTCCCATCTTACGAAAGGCTGTTCCCCCGTCCTCTGAACCGCGTGCCCGAGTCCCCTTCCTCCAAGAATGCTGCCGCCCTCTCCCTGGTTGAACTTTTTGTTTCCAGTCGAATGCACACTGGAGCCAAAACCAGCACCCCGGCCAAGTGGTACTTGAAAACTGTCCCCACCTCCCGGTCGGTTTCCTTGCTTTTGAATAACCTTTTCCCACAATGCATTCGGTCCCCTACAACCTCAACAGACAACTGTTTCGACTAGCCAAGATGAAGACTCGTAAAGTGACTTTGTGACGGAGTGCCAGCTGTCCACTCCCTCCCCTTCTTGATCCATTTTGCCGCGGCTGCTCCGAGAACCACTTGAATAGCCCCTTTTTTGCTGAGACAATTATGGGCTTCATATAAACTGGAAGGCAAGCATTCCAAGAAATGTAATTTCAAGGAAAGGCGTTCTTTGGGAACATCGTAGGTTACTCTTTTTGTTGACTGAATTGATTCAAGACACAAAAATGTTGGTTACTAGAAAAAATAACTTCAGTTTAGATAAGTGGGCCAAATCCGACGTTTCTTGGTATCCAAAGAATTTCCCATGCTGTTAAACCTTGCAGATGAAAACACCTTGCATTATAGAAGAACATTAATATAGACCAAGAAAAGTTTTAACTACATCTTTCAAAAGAACGGAAAATTTAGTTTTGCCCCTGATGAGAATCGGGTAAATGCAAGTGCTTTCGGGAAAAGAAGAGTGGATTCAGTTTTAAAAATTGTGTTCCGCAAATGTAGTACGTTTTGTGCCATAAAATTTAGTAGTTTGCCTTATCATACTGAAAATAAGGACCGTAAACAAACATATAAATGAACACCAGCGAAATGCCGTCACTGTTCTCTATCACGCCGTAGGCGAGCGATATTCAAACAATTGATATCTACAGTTGAGTATGAAAGAATAGAGAAACTTGGAACGGAACTGGCAGCATATTATCAGTTTTCGCTAAATCTAAGCATATATTCTGCCATTCTGTTATACATTTGCCATCTTAGAATGGGCTTATAAGTAAACAAATATACCAAAACTGCCCCAGTAAAGACAGAAAGCTGAGCACTTTCATGGTCAGCAAGGAACTAAAATTTTTGGTCATACTTTCACATGTTTATGAACTTAACTTTCGAAATAAACGTAAAGTACGCAGATATTCGACGCCGAAATATTTGATGAGAGTGCTTTCTCAATCGGTAACTTGTTATTGAAAGTTTTTGGTAGAATCCTACTTTGGGTCCCAGAATTTTTTTAAATAATCTTATATTTTCACATCAAATTAGCGCGCCATAAATAAATTTACAGGCTTATAGTTTATTGGGTGTGACAAATATGGACAGTTTTTACTTAATTGTACTTTATAGTTTACTGGGTTTCTTGATATTCCTGAAAATAAATTGGTGGTTAGGAGGTCAAGAATAGAGGCAAAAGTTCGCATCCCAGGTGTTTGTCTAGAAGAAGTCGGA